GTAGCATGTGACAGGATTGAATCCTTATATATTCTTCTAGGTACTCTTTCTTCTGTCTGTGCCATAAAATTGAAATCTTTGACATGTCTCCCAACACTGCTAATTGTTCCACATGTATGTGGCTCCTTTTCCCCACTAGTGATCGAACATCATGTCTTCTCTTTTATTTTTTATTTTTGTTAATCCTTACCTGAAGACATTTTTCCAGTGATTTTAGAGAGAGTGGAAGGGAGGAGGAGAAACAGAAAGAAACATTGACATAACAGAGACACCTCAATTGGGTTACTTCCCTCACTCGCCTCAACCGGGATGTGCCCTGACCAGAGATCAAGCCTGCAACTGAGGTACATGCCTGGATTGGAATCGAGTCCAGGATCCTTCCTTCAGTCCAAGGGCCAATACTCTATCCACTGAGCCAAACCAGCTAGGGCCAAGTCTTATCTTTTGGACCTCACCCAGCACCAGCATTCTGCAGAAAACATGGGAGATAAATCCTGGATAGTAAACTGAGAGATCTGGAACTACCGTGTTTTATTTATCACTACTTCCCGGCATCTAACGTAATGCCTGACATATAGAAAATGAAGAGAATATATTTTTTAAAGAAAATAAACTCAATTATTTTTTAGGACTGATTGAAAATGAAAAGATGGGAAGTAGGAAATGTGAATCTCCAGCAGCATTTATAAGAAATAATCTAAGGGGAGGGAGAAAAGTATTAGCTAAACTAGAATCAGAACTTTGAAAAACTTCTCCTTGAAAATTATGTAAAACAGGTACTAGGTTCTTTATAATTTATTACTGAGGAGGAAGGGGGCAGAGGACAGTGACTTTGTTCTGAATAATTATGGCCCAAGTTTTCAAGCTTTGGTGCTTCATCGTCCCCTTTCCCAAGGACGGAACGTAAAGTGCCGATGCACACCTGCTCCCTGGAGAGGGGCTGGCCAGGCCAAGCAGCACATGCCCACACGTCTTGCCCTGTCACCGCAAGGAGGAACAAACTCATGAGTGAGCTTTCGACCTCCCCCACCTTTAATATCGAGGAACAGACAAATCCTCAGGTTGCGTGTTTGAAAGCCAGAGGTGGATAAAAATAATCCAATGACAAATGCTGGAAAAACATACAAAGGGGCAGAAGCCAGACATTCGTGGGATTCCCTGACAGCTCGATCTACAAGGAAGGGCTGGGCTGGAAAAAAAACAGGGCCTCAGGTTCCTGCCAAGCCGTCTGAGGCCCCATCCTTCCCAAACCATTCCAAGCAGCAGCCAAGACTTGACAGTAACCCTTCTCGGTCTCACAGAGAAAGATGCACTGTGCAACCACCGAGTGCTCCTCACCTAGAAGTGCTCCTCCCTATGAGGCTGGAAATGAGAAGACACCGCTGCATATCGACTTTCAGTTCCCAATAGCTCCCCACGTGCCCGGAAAATGGACACTTAAAAGGCAGCTGAAAAATCCTACCCATCTCATTGGCTAAATAAAAGCTTATTAAATACCCAGGTATTAGCACTCAGAAACCAAAGGGGTCCCTTTAAGAAAAAAGGGGTCACGACCACTAGTACCTGCATCCCGGAGGCTCTATTGTATAATTCTAAATTGGCCCTGCTCGGAGGCACACCTCAGGCTTCTAAACATGTGACTGGATTTGGCCCTGACTACTTTCTCTTCTGGAAAGTGGCCTGCAATTAATCTCACTTATTACCTCTGAAAAGTAACAACAGAGGAATGGCTGGCCAAGTCCAACTCCGGAGTGTCTAGGGAACTGCAAGCTACATGGCCAGGCCTCAGACTGTCTGGGCAAGTCATGGGCTCTCTGCCTTCCTCCCCACAACAAAGCTTGAACAGGGACTCCAGACAGACCAAAGGAACCGAGGGATTTGAGGAGCTGGGCTGAGCTCACGCTGACCCAATGGGAGACGACAGCCCTGAGGCTACGTTTGGGATGGTTTCAGAAAGCGGGGGAAGAACAAGGTTGTCTGGTGAAAACTTGTGTGATCCATAAAATTGAGAACAATAGCAACACCACAGGGAAATGAAAAATAACACTATTTGCAGAGTTCTCGTGAGTCACCAGTTTTCATTCCTGTGGCTACCAAGTCACTGAATCCTGATGAAAAGTACAGCCAGCAATGGATTCTCTTTACATAGGGTTACTGTTTGCAGGACAGCCCCCAGTTCAGTGAATTATCAGAGTTTATCAGCGCTGGAATCCGCTGTTGCTATTGTAGAAGAACAAGTAAGAGTGCCTCTTACTTTCTTAGCACCCACTTCTAGGGAGATCAAAGTGCTTTAAGGGCAATCTAAAAGCTCCCGAAACAGGCCAGTTTATATGTAAGTATGTTTACCTAAAGAAAACATTAAGCGAATAGTATAGGGTTACTTAAGTGTTAAAACCAGTAATAGAACTCACATCTCTAAGCTACTAATTCCAAATTCATGAAACTTGGTCACTCTTACTATCAAGGGAGGAACAACAGGAGGCTAAATAATTACAAAACAGTGACTTACCAAGCAAAATTAGAAATCGGGGCATGGTAGGAAGAATGCCTGCTGTAGCCCACTTCACAGCCAGGTCTGGAAGGATCTCTGAGCATCCTCTTAGGGCTGTTTTAGGGTAGGTACCTCTGGGAATTCCCTGGAGCCAGAACTCCCAACCTAGTCTCCAGGCTGTCCTGGCAACCCTCTGGGAGCAGAGGAAGATCTCCTGGGCTACCCTGGACGGGAGTGGGAGCTAAAAACTGGCTCGTAAGCTTGAAGACCAGGTGAAGAGAGGACTGCTGTAGGTACAACTAACCCAACAAGGAAGGGGACTTTGTGAGGGTTGCTTTCTGGCGCCAGTGGCTTTTGCTGATCGTACAATGTGACATTCTGCCACAGCCCAGGAGCAGTCAGGCTGGGCAAAGGCCATACACAGCGCTGGCCTCTAAATCCTGCCTCCGACCCTGACAGAGCCCTTCTTCGTTCAGTCTCCGCATTAACAGGTGCTACACCAAGAGAAGGCTCTCCTTCTTATTTTAAAAATTCTGCCAAAACTGGTTTGGCTCAGTGGATAGAGCATCAGCCTGCGGATTGAAAGGTCCCAGGTTCGATTCTGGTCAAGGGCATGTACCTTGGTTGTGGGCACATCCCCAGTTGGGGCTGTGCACGAGGCAGCTGATCGATGATTCTCTCTCATCGATGTTTCTAACTCTGTACCCCTCTCTCTTCCTCTCTGTAAAAAAATCAATATAATATATTAAAAATTAAAAAAAAAAGTTTTTTCTCATTCCATCTGTAACTAATACTCAAATTGTATCTTTCCAAAATGTGTAGTTCTGACGTTTTGTTTATGGAAAACGGCTGCAGCCTTATCCTATAGATAATATATCTGAGATTGCAGTGGAAATGTTTTCCATAGAAATAAGGCTCTGACTGTAAAATGGAAATGGAATATTTGGAAATATTTTATATGGAAAATAAAGCCCTATGGTATAAACAGAATTTCTTTTTTACAACCTACGTTTTCAGAATTGTTTACCATTGTAAATCACCAAATGACAGACTCCTCCTGGGAAGAGAACTGTGTGGGAGGATGCCCCGCTTGAAGTCCTGCTGTTCAGTCTTTAACTCTCTGTAATTCTCATTTGAGAAGATTCTTTTCACTCTGACCATTGTGATTACTAGTATAAAATACACTGGACCAGAACATGATGTAATGTGTTTATACTTATGTTGTTTCCTGGACAGAACCTGTTTCCAAAATTAGTTCCTTAAGAAGCAGTGCTAACACCAACATACTTTAACAACAATTAGGTATTTCTGCCATGCCCAAGTTTTTGGTCTCCCCTCCTAACTTTGTGGCAAGGCAGCATTAAAGAGAAGGCTGGCTGGCCCAGCTGGCTCAATGGTTGAGCACTGACCTATGAACCAGGTCACAGTTCGATTCCCAGAGAGGGCACATGCCTGGGTTGCGGGCTCGATCCCTAGTAGGGGGTGTGCAGGAGGCAGCCAATCAATGATCCTTTCATCATTGATGTTTGTAACTCTTCCTTCTCTGAAATCATAACTCATGGACAGATGAAATCAGACCCTTATTTAATAGCCACTAAAGCATGATGTACTGGGGGACTTAAAATATGGATTGAGGATAGAATTCAAGACAGTGATTTATTTTTTAATTCAGAAGTTGCTTTATGGCCAGAACCTATCTGGATTTTATCCTCCGCTACTTCTCTCAACTATATAAAGAAAATCTCCTTCCTACTTCCCAAATAAACATTGACCAGGAGGAGGTTTTGAATTTAATTATAGAACCTAGATGAAAACAATGTCCTTCAGAAGAAAAGAGTCCAAAGCCACTGAAATACAATGGTTTACAAGGTATAAAAAAGATTTGATACCTAGAAATGAAGGAGAGGAAGAGAGAATGTCAAAAGTATTACATGATTTGAGTTATATGTGGAATCTAATGAAGAAAATAAATTGATGAGCAAAACAGATTCAGAGACACTGAAACATGCAACACACTGACTTATTTCAGAAGCTGTGGGGGAGGGCATAACAGGAAGAGATTAAACAAAGAACTTATATATGCATAGCCCATGGGCAAACAATAGTGCAGGGAAGACCTGGGGAGGGAGTAGGGCAAGGTGGAATGGGTCAATGGAGGTAAAAAAAAAAAAAAAAAGTGACATTTACGATACTTTCAACAACAGTTTTTTTAAAAAGGCAATACATGAAAATGTCCGCAATAGGCAGGGATTAAACACAATATAAATTCCTGTTCTTTCACCAGAAATGAATTTATGGAACTGTATCAGGTATTTCCTTTTCATTTGCTTTGCTCACAAACTGTCCAACAAGTGAAATGAGGCCCTATATTCAAGTGCCGTAGGACTGGGACAGGTGGGGGAAGGCCCTTTTACCAGTGTCTATCCAGGGAGCTCAGGTGAAACTGGCTTGCTCATAACCCAGGCTATCCCCGTGCCACCCAAATGTTAGCTCTGTGGTTCTCACGTACCTGCTTCCAGGAGGAGTGGGGTGGCTCTCAGGAGCTTGGGGGTCTGACTGAATTGACCAGGTTGGGCCACTAGGACTGATGACAGGCCGAAGGGTGGGGGGAGTTGAAGCACTGCTTCTGTTTATGACACCGCTTGTCAAATTCAGGTTTGATACCTAGAAATGAAGTGAGGGAAATAATCTGATTTTACAGGGTTTTAGAAAAATTTCATTAAAAACACATGGGAAGAATCGAGTCAAAGGCAGGAGATGCTGACTCAATGAAGCTGAAGCTGCTGTGACAAAGGTCCCATCAAAGCTGGCTTCTGCACACATCCCAGAGCAGAAGTGAGGGTGGCTAGTGTCAATGTAAGCATTACTCAGTGATTAGAACGTTGGCCTGTGCACCAGAGGGTCATGGGTTCCATCCCTGGTCAAGGGCACTTAGCTGGTTTGCAGGTCCAATCTCCTGCCCCCTGTTGGGGCGAGTGTAGAAGGCAACCAATTGATGTGCCTCTGTCACATCTATGTTTCTCTCTCTCCTCCCTCCTCCTTTCCACTCTCTCTAAAAAAAATTTTTTTTGAAAAAAAATCAATGGATGACTCGATGGTGGGCACACGTTGCAATATACAGATCTTGTAACATAGAAAACCACACATGAAACCTACAGGTTCATGTTGACAAATGTCACACCAAACAATTAAATAAAGTAAAGAGAAGAAAAAAAAAATCAATAGAACAAAATATCCTCACTGCTTGGGTGAGGATTTAAAAGAGAAAAAAAGAACCCCCAAAATCCTGATTATATAAGCTCAGGGTTGTAGTTAAAAAAAAAAAAAAATTAACAAGTGTTTATTTTGCTGCTACCATGTGCAAAGCACTATACTGTCCTAGTTGCTGTAAAATATAAAGGTAAATAATAGAAACAGCAAGACTTTATTAAGTATTTACCCTGTGACAGGTCAGGTTCTGAGAAATTAGGCAAACTACGTAGCCTTTCTGGGTCTTGTTTCCTCATTTGTAAGTTCTAAATGCTCAATAAAGTTTAGTTATAAATAATACTTATTATTATAAAATACAAAGAATTCATTGCTTTAGAAAGAAAAAAAGATGCATAGTCACTAGCAAAATAGACATTGACTTCAATAAATAATTTACGAAGAAGAAAACTTATTAGCTAATTAAACATTTAAAACTAGTCATTTCCCCTGGAAATCAAAAGTTGCAAATTATATTACCTCTTTTGTGTGTTATAGTAATAATAAAAAACACAACATCTAATAATGGCAAGGAGTGATATTATACAGGTACCTATACTATTTATGTGACTATACACTGGTATAATCTTTCTAGAAATAAATATGGCAATATATTATTAAAAATATTATTACAATGTTTGTACACTTTGATGCTACAATCTAACTTCTGAGAACAATGCTCAAAACAACCACATATGATCAATGACAATGAATGTTATAATAGCAGTTACTGTTTTAATGTACCAGCTCTGTATGCATCTCATTTCAATTGCCATAATTCTGTTGTAAGTACTATTATCATCTCCATTTTACAAAGAAGGAAACTGAGGCCTAGGATAGCACTGAGGCCTAGAGAAAAATGGCAGAACTGGGATGTGACCATGATCTTTGGAACTTCGATGCCTGTATTCTCATACTGTAATGTACTGTGAACAGATTTTGAAAACAAACACTGATTTTAATATTGTAAAAGGAGAAGATCTAAATGGCTAACAGTATTTTACATATATTTTGCCCTAGCAAAATAAGGAAATATTCTGTATCTATTAGAATTTTTTTGAAAAATATTCAAAAATATAGGAACATGCTGATTTTTTTTAATAATATGAAACTGTATAGAGAGCAGATTCAAAGTTCTTAAACATACACATCCACAGATATACACTCATAAAGGACCAGAAATAAAAATCCAATTCGTAAATACATCTATTTCTGAATGGTGACTTATTTTCTTCCTTATACTTACCTATATTTTCCAAGTTTCCTATACTGGCCATGTGATTACTGTTAGTACCCCAAAGAAAACTTTTAAGTCATTATGAGAAATACAAAGGATAGTTTGAGAAGCATTTCAGAATGAGATCCACAGGGTATGATGAAAAGAGGGGACACAGTTGAGCATGACACACTATGGAACAGTGACATGAGGAGAAGTATATTTTAAAAAAGTGTTTTTCTATAAGATGTCCTAAGAAGCCAATAATTTTGACATTTAAAAAAAATTTTTTTAAATATATTTTATTGATTTTATACAGAGAGGAAGGGAGAGAGATAGAGAGCCAGAAACATTGATGAGAGAGAGTCATCGATCAGCTGCCTCTTGCACACCCCCCACTGGGGATATGCCCGCAACCAAGGTACATGCCGCTGACCGGAATCGAACCCGGGACCCTTCAGTCCCCAAGCCGACGCTCTATCCACTGAGCCAAACCGGTCCCGGCAATTTTGACATCTTATATAACAAAAGCGCAGACCACCAGGGGGCAGACGCTCTGACTGGTAGGTTGGCTTGTGCTGGGGTTCAATTCATGCTTCGATGTCTATGGATCTATTTTGTTCATCAGTTTATTTTGTTCATTAGGTTTTAACCACTATTACTCCCAAAGCCTGGGGCCACTGAACCTAGAATTTAAAATTTCACCTGTGGACGAGCAACATCTGCATTACCTGAGAGCTCGCTAAAAATGCAGACTCAGTCCAGACTCTGCCCCAGTGAATAAAAAACTGCATTTGACAAGATCCACGCATAATTCGCATGCATCTAAATGTTTGAGAAGTACTTATTGGGGGAAGAGGGAATGCTAGAAAAGAAAGGAGAAAACAGGAAAGAGGAACCACTTAATAGTTCTCCTCCATAAAACTCAGGGGATCTTCCAAAAGCCGAAGGAAATGCCCTGATGGGGTAAAGAGCAAGACAGAAAACAATCAAGGGGAAGGAGAAAATAATTCTATGAGAGATGTTAAGGTTTTACTATTTCTCAACGTTGCTTGTATGCACAAACATTAATATGAGTAACTGTTTAGTATGCCAAAGATACAAAAGTGGGTAAGATAATTTAGAACAAACTTCAAAATATTTCAAGTCTGTCTGGTCAGTTGGCTTAGCTGGTTGGAGCGTCATCCCATACACCAAAAAGCTGCAGGTTTCAATTCTTGGTCAGGGCACATACCTAGGTTGCAGGTTTGATTCCAGGTCAGGGAGCCTATGGGGAGGCAACCGATTGATGTTTCTCTCTCACATCGATGTTCTCTCTCTCTCTCTCTCTCTCTCTCTCTCTCAAAATCAATTAAACATATCTTTGGGTGAGGATTAAGAAATAAACAAATAAATAAATAAAGTCCAAGGTTACTTGTTATGCTGACATGAGAAACAGTGGTAATTAAAAATAAACCAAAACATGTAAGCCTAAAAACACTCAGCTTGTTAAGTATTCTTCCACCCCTGCCTTTCTGTAGCTGGGTAGCTGAGTGAAGGACCGCCTGTGGGAAAGTCCAGCGACGGGATGCTACCTCGACCCAACGCCCAAGCAGGTGTTCCACCCCTTGCTGTCCTCCTCGCTTCCTCCAATGCTCCCACTGCCCCGGAGCAGCTCACCCACAGGCTCTACTCTTGCTCCTTTCTCCATGTCAATTTCCTCAGTGACCTCAGTGAATTTTTTTTCTTTTAGGACCAAAACACTGTTTATCTTAGAGCCGGCCTTCCGAATAAGGCAGGTGAGCAAATATCTGAATGTGTGGGGCAGGGACACATTGCACGCATTCCATCTAGACAGGTGTTTAAATTATAGCGGGAATAAATACAGGTGATGGATTGAGAAGAGGATAGGAGAAACAGAGAGGGAGCCAATTTCCGGCGGCTGGCCCGCCCAAGTGTTATTGCTTGTTACTGCTGTTTGCTAAAAGTAGTGCTGCTGCCAGTGCTATAATTAAAATATGATGGTACTGCCCTGATGACTTCCCAGAATATGCCACCACCCACCCAGATGCATAACCTTTTGGTATCTAAAGAGGACCAGGGCCAGGCCTAACCTAGATCACTGTTGCTCTAGTGGGCATGCTCTAGAAATGCTGGGGACCTAAGTGATCAAAACAGTCCAAACCTCAGGTAATTTGATAAATATTCGCTGCATTGCCTATTAGGGGCAAGGCCTTGGGTAAACCTTCGGGTATATAAAGATTAAACTGTGGCCCCTGCTCCAAAGCCACAGAGGAATTTGTGTTCCCCCAAACAAACAGCAACATATAAGGCCTCCAGAATATAAGTGCCATAACAAAAGTGCTAAGGAAATTCGAAGGAGGCACCTGAGCTGGGCCTGAAAGCATCCTTTGGGAGGGAGTAGGAGATGCTGGGAAAGGGAGTGGGGACAGTAGTTCCTAGCTGGCAAGAAAATTCATAAGTAACGCAAAGACAAATAAGCTGGAAGATTGTCAGAAACAAAAAGCAGTCTACTAGTAATTTGGCAAAAGCCTAGAGCAGAAGAGAGGATGAGACAGACGAACAGCTTGGGGAGGTCTTTGCATATCACGCTAAAGATCCTGTTCTTTAGCTATTAGACAACAGTAAGCTTGCTCACACGTTCTGAGAGTAGTGCTGTATCAGAATTGTGGGCAGGCAGGTAGGTCTGGGCTGTTATTTGTGCAGTGGGTTGAAAGGGGCTATTAAGAAAAGTTCAGATCAGCTGAGAATCACAAGTCTGGGGAAAGGTAATATGTCCTGGGATGCAGGACATATTACTGCTGGTCTCCCCTCGTTTCCCTCCTGGGCTAAGGCAGTGTGCTGGGGCTTGGAGCTGGAGAACGGCATTTGTAATATGATAAATTCACTCGAGTTCATGTGTTCTCTGTTCACGTTTTCTTTTTGGATCGGCCCCCTTTTGGATTACATTTCTCCATGCAACGGGTGAAGGAAGAAGGTGCTGCCTGCCCCTTAAGAAGAGAGGAGGTCAGAGTGGGACTCTGAAGCCAGCTTAGTTGTAGGGCCCTCTGAGAGAATGCACCTTTCCTTCGCTGTGTCTTTCCATACTTGTCTCCAACGATAAAATGGTTTTGAGGATTAAGATTAGGGAAAGGTCTGGGGGAAGGCACCCCAGGATGACGACTAGATGGCTCCAGTCCTTTAGTCTGGGTCTGAGGCCTGG